TGATTCGTTAACCTTCATCTAGATTAAGAAACGACAACGGCCAAATTAAATAGCGGATTCAGATTGATGTTTGAGTCAACCAAATTAAACTCTATATTAAATTTGTCGTTAGGCAACTATATCAATTAGATAACATATTTTTAATATATATATATATACATGCTTTTAAATTAAAATATACTTTACAGAAATATAAACAAAAGTATTACGTTTCATTACATAGGTATGCATGTTTTCGTTAAAAGTATGATATGTCGACCCATTTAACCTTTTAAGTTGCCCCAAACAAAAATTTGTGTTTAAAATTATATTTCTAGCTAACTAGTTTTCAATAAATAAATAAAGAGAATGTTGTTTTTAGTAATTGTTCAAAACGTTTCCATTAAATAATTATTACTTTGTCTGAAAGTTTTTTATTTTCTATTAAAAATCAAAGCTTTATGGAAAGTAATATTGTTCTTTAATTTTTATGAGGTAGCTAAATTAAAACACCTATATAACATTCTAAAGTTTTAAATGTCAAATGCTTGGTAATTTCATATGTAAATTTAGGATGATTCATAGTAGTGTATGTAGATTTTTTTTTTTTTTTTTTGTTTTTCTCATCGATGACTAATAAAAACTTTGAAATTATAAATGGCATGTTTAACTTAAACTAATAATTTATTTTAGAACTTAATTAATTTTTAATTTATTAACAATTTTATAATTATTGAGTGGCAATGTCATTTTGAATAAAATAATAATATAAATTTTTTAAAAGTATTCCAATATCAAATTAAAATTTGTACTCATATTATTAATTTTTTTGTATAGATTTACTAATTAACATGTGTGTTAAAAATAAGATCGCACCGATTTCTTCTTCGTCAATCAAGTCGAGAGTTGGTACCAGGCCGGGAAAACAAATCAGCCATTTTCTTATTTGAAAATCGAGTTCTTCTTAACTTCCCTTGGCCTCTTTCCTGCACTTTGGTGATCAGATATTGGGAATAGGTATGGATAGTTCGTAGACCTCTCAATGCTCTATTAGGTGCTTTCGATCCGAAATTGGACGGAGGACAGCAGCAGGAGAAGAGAGTGCGAGCGGGCAGGGACAGCAAACGAACCGGACGAGCTAGCAACCTTACTTCCCCGGTGCCGACTCTGGGGGCGCTGCTTTGGGATCAAAGTTATAAGGGATCTCAAAGTGAGAAGACTGACTCGCTTGTGTTTTGCAGAAGATTGCGGAGGAGTCTGATGCCAAGACAAAAAAGACAAAGAAAGAAAAGAATAATCATAATGAAGGTAGGTCAATTACATCGAACAAAGCAAAATTCAGTCATAAAGGCAAGGAGAAAAGGCATCTGAATGGACTATTGAAGTCCTGATAAAATAAACGAGAGTCAGAAAAAGAAAAGACAAGCAAAACAAACAATCACTTATATAATATGCAGACGATTCGCCGACAACCCCTCCTTACTTGAGGGAAGGGTTGTCTACACTTTGACTCTTCATAGCGCGACCTCCAACTAGGGGATCGCTCATTCGAGACTGAAAGTTCAATAAAGTAGCCCGGCACAAAGATTATGAAATACCGTGTATGAATTGACAAATAAGATTATAAAGGACCACTAGTTGGTTTTTTTTTTTTCCAAAACGATAGATAATATTATAAATCAAAATACACAAATGTGCAAATACACAACAGCCAACGACTGAATATACAACAACCAACAGCTTAAAAAGTGAGAGGACATGTCAGAAGACCGCCTAGAATCCCGGCTAGCAACGCTAAAATAAAAAACACTCGCAACTAAACTAACCAACAACACAAACAACTAAAACAACTACAAGACCTCAACAGGATAATACCTGAGTGTCGGACCCCAACAAGGTAATACCCGAGTGTTGGACCCCAACAGGGTAATAAGGTAACACTCGGGCGTACAACGTGACACTCGGACGCACAGAGGCCAACGGCCCAAACAAAAAACACAAACAAAGAGAACAACCAAACTAAAAACCTACTCAGAAGACACACAAAGCCCTTCTCCAGCGAGATAACCGAACCCAGCATAAGGCACCAACGAAATTAGGACCAAACACCCTATAGCTTGACGCGAAAGCCGGAACACCACTCCTGCTTCTGCCTAAAGCTTAGCAAAGGATAAGTCCCAAGCCTCGAACCAGTCCAAGGATGAAGCCGACCCAAAGCCCGGGAGGATCGAACGGCCCCAACCCACAGACCCGCTTCCCGTGACCCGACCAGAAACCACTAGTCAGAATTCGGGCTTGTCAGGCATCCAACTCCACTCAACCAGCAATGAGGACACAGGGGCACGAACCAACCCATCTCTATCCGGCCGCCGCGACTCAAACGAGCCAAGCCACCTGGCTCACACCCAATCCCAACCACAATCACTCACCTCCTTGAAGCCACCCACCACGAACCCGGCGCGCAGCGGACAAGTCCCCACATGAGACCGAGCTGAGAAGAAGCCATCCGACGAGCAGGGAAGCCAGCCACCATAGCCACTACTCAAAGAACCAGGTACGGGACCACCACCAGCAAGAAGGAAGCGGCGAGAGCCGACGGGCTTGGGAGAAACACCATCAGCGCAGGAGCACCGACAAGCGATAAATTGAGACGAGATGTCGAAGCTATGGGTCATCCACCAGCAAAGGGCCGGCTAATCGCCGGGGAAGGCGCGCGCGATGTACGGAATTAAGCGAGCAGCTGCGAGATTTTCTTGAGGAGAAGAAATAGGATCTGGTTGTTGAGCACTGTTGACACATAGACTTGAAAAACTTTACATTGATACATAAAAAGAGACTATAAATATAATTTAGAACTAAACAAATTTTTATATGTTGTCACTTTTTCATGTAATATATCAAATCAATCATGTTTTGACGACTTTTGAATTTGATAGGTATATTGTATATATATTAACTAAAAATTCATATATATACACATTTGTAAAATAATATCAAGTTATTTATCAATGCTAATTAAAAAATTAAAACCTAATATATTACACAAATTAGAAAACTTGTTACACATGAACGAGACTTACTGATGACAGATGTCATTTTAAATATAAATAATAGTATAACTTTTTAGAAAGTGTTTAAAATTTGAAAATAAAAATTTAGAACTTTTATATTAATAATATATAAATCTAATTTGTAGTAAATAAGCATGTATTCTATTGATTTTGTAATGTTAATAAAAGTTTGTGTTTTGTATATCTAGCTAAAAAACTAGATGATAGCCATTAAGTAATTGATAGAGCATAAATTAAGTTTGAGCTTAATTTATGGTTGATGGATGAAAAACCAACATATGAGAGAATTGTTTGGATGTAGTTTTGTTATGGAGTTATTGGATGACTCGGTTTATAGAGTCATTCACAAATAGTGTATTGGCACGTGTCTTATAATAAATACACTTTCGACATATGTCAATACATTTTGTGATAGATGACTCCACACATAAAAAAACTATCTGATAACTTCATAGAATTTTTGTGATTGGATGTTACGTGTTTGACATAAAATTTAGCTGATTGAACCTCGTTTTGAGGTTTGACTTCTGAAATTCACTAATTAGGTAAATAGCTTATAAAATTATATTGCAATGCCAAAATGCCAATTTTAAAAAATTCCATTGGAGCAAGATAAAAAGGAGTATTCATAAAATAACACCACAACCTAATATTTTTGAAATATCTATACAAATTGATAATTACAAAACACTCATTTAAAATGTTAATACAATCAGCTAGTAAAATCATTTATTACATAATGTCTTCTACTAATACAATCAAATATATGTTTTCCTTTAGCACTAATAGCCAAACAAGACCACAATAAAAATACCACATAAGATTACTTGATATGTAAATGGAAATAAAGTTTCAACAATTATTTTAAAATAAAAATTTCCTAGAAACCCTTATAAAATAAGCTAGAGCATTTTTGAACGGTTCATTCTACCAAACTAACATTAGAGTTTGTTTGACAAACACCATAAACTAGATTATAGCTTATTTGGTTAGTTTACGAGTTTTTTATATACAAATAAGTTTGGTTTGATAGGATGAATTTTTTTTTTTCAAAAAGCTCAAACTTATCTTATAAGCTTTTTTAGTTAGCTTTTCAAATAGTTCGTAGAGATTTTTATTTCAAATGACTTATCAACTAATTTTACTAAACAATTATCATATCAACTAACTGCTTCAACGCTAAGCCATAAACTATCAACTATAAGCGCGAAATTCATTGATAGAAGTAATTTATGAGCTACCAACTACTTTTACCAAACATTATGGATAGACGAATAAGCTAGATTATGACTATGTTTGGTAAAACTAGCTGATAAGCTAGCTGATAGCTTATATGCAATTTTTGAGCTTATAGCTTATGACTTATAGCTGAAAAGCTAGCTTATATGATAAAAAGATGTTTGGTAAATTAGCTGATAAGCTAGTTGAAATAAAAAATTCAACTAACTTATTTGAAAAACTACCTAAATTAGCTTATGAAATAAGCTCAAGCTCGTCCTACCAAACGAGACTTAATTTAAATAGGGAGCTTATAAACTAACCAAATAAGTTATAAGCTAGTTTATAAGGTTTAACAAACATACCCTATAGCTTATTTGAGTAACTTATAAGCTTCTTAAATTTAAATAAGTTTTGCTTAGTGGGACTAATTTATTAAATAATTAATTTTAATATAAATTAGCTTATCATATTTACCAAAACCACTTAAGAGTAGATAAAATGAAAAAAATAAAATAAAAATAATAATCCAAATAATAGGAAAGTAGCAAGCACCCCCTACCCTGCCCCCACAACTTTAAAAACCTCCCCTTCCCATCAGAATCCACAAGTCTTCCTTTCTCTCTCTCTCTCTCTCTCTCTTTTATCTCTCTCCTCCCCTTTCTCTCTCATGAAATCACCTCTGTAGACTACACAGTAGCAGTCTCAGAAAGCACCGTACCAGAGAAAAATATGGGGAAATACATTCGAAAACCTAAAACTTCTGGTGACCTCTCCGTTAAGGATGTCTCTCAATCCTATCTCGGTGTTCGCACCCGGGCCAAAACCCTAGCTCTGCAGCGCCTCCAGTCGTCCTCCGCCTCCGCCGCCGACGCTTCCCATGCCTCGCCGCCGCCTCCAAAGCCTGATTACCTCGAGCTGCGCTCCAGGCGCCTTGAGAAACCCCCTCTCCGGAAGAATTTTCCCAATTCCCCAAAAAACCCTGCTGCTACAGAAAAACCCCAATTCGAGAATTCGGCCGAGAAACCTTCGCCGGAACCGGCTGTCCTTCCAATTGAACCGGCAGGGGAAGACGATGGGCGCTTTGAAAGGCTCAACGGCGGTGGTTCGGAAATTGGGGATTCTGAAATTCAGGCGTCTTTAGGAGAAAACAATTTGGATTTGGAAGCCAGGGAAAGGTATATTCTTTTTATATCTCATCCATTTTACTTCTTATTTTCTAACAATTTATCTATTTATCATCTCGTTTTTGTCCCTTCCATTTTTTTTTTCTGGCTACCAATTTTACTTTAGCCGGATGAAAGAAAAGTTTTTTTTTTTTTTTTTTTTTTTTTTTTTTTGGGTTTTGTGAAAAATAAAATCTTTACAAATATTATGAAACTGATTTTATGCAGTGAAAACTCTTTATTTATTTATTTTTCATTCACTTACTCTGTAATCTGGAAATTTTCATGTAAATAACGACTGTCCTTTTCTCTCTGTGTAAAGCAGTAAAAAAGGTCTTTCTTTGGGGGTTAAAGGAAAGGATTTATTGGCCTTTTGGGTGTGTGTATCTGATGGTTTTGTTTGAAAAATTTCCTTGAAAGAGCATTTATTCTGCACTTTTAGAAATACTTGTAGAGTTTCTTTTTCATCTTTAAAGGTGTTTCTTTCTTATTATACCATTTTTGTGTTTCCATTTATTTTTATTTGGACTCTCATTTTAACTCCATTGTTTGTTAATGAAGGTGGTTGTAAATTGTTTCTTTTTTATTGGTTCAGGTAAATTAGTTGGGAACCATTGTTTTGTTACTGCAATATTGATAAATCTGTTACCAGAAAATATGGCTAAGTTTGTATTTTCTTTTTGTTTCTTTCTTGTTTTTTTCTGATTTATTGTGATGTTGAGCAGTTGAAAGAGTAGTAAAGGCACATCATTTTTGGGTGGTTTTTAGTTTCTCAGTTTTCTAACTAATTAATTTTGTATATTTGATTTGTGTTTGGTATGTGTTTTGTATTGTCAGATTTATAAAGGTGTTTTGATGCTTGATTTATCTTTCTTTTTCTAAAAAAAAAATGTAAACTTACCTTAACTGCAAAGATGTTGGTATGCTTGATTAATGCCTTTCTGAAAACATGTAAAGTTGACTGACATGGTCATTCTTGCTTCTAGAAAACCCCATGGCATCCATAGCTTCTTTAAATAAACTGTGCCATGGATAAAAAGTTCAAAATCGTCATCTCTTTGTACTTATCGTTATTAGCCGACTGTTGCTTAAAATCGAAAGAATGAACATTGCAAACTGACTTTTAATTGTGTATGATGATGAGCTTTTCAAGAATTGAGTTTGAGCAATTGACTTTTTACATTAGCCTAATTTAGAATAGGTCTCTTTTTGCAAACTCAATATTAAGTTATTAACTGATTTAAAATTTTGTGCTTTGAGCAGGGGCACAAGAGAAAGCACCCCGTGCAGTTTTATCAGGCCCGGCGACAGCATTTCGACACCTGGATCTTCTACTAGGCCCAGAAGTCCCAGTTCAAGGGCCCAAAGCGCGCGTGGAGAAATTCCTACTGCTCGTGAGCTGGAGGAGTTTTTCGCCCAAGCAGAGCAGTCACATCAGCGCCGTTTCATGGAGAAGTACGTGCTCTCTCGTCTACTTCCAATTCACTATTTTCAAGAATTATGAGCTAATAAATAAATACGTGATATTTTGTACTCGTGCAGGTATAATTTCGATATCGTGAACGATGTGCCCCTCCCTGGACGTTACGAGTGGGTTAAAGTGTTGCCCTGAGCCAAGAATAAATTGCTAAACTCCTAACCTTTGATGCTTTTTAGGTTGTCGTGGTCGATTAGGTCGAACATAGGATTACAATGTTACTACCCCTGCAATCCCTTTGATTAAACAGTGTAATATTTACCGATGTTTAGAAAAAATTACTAAGGCCCCCGGGAATTGCAGGACTAGACTAAGTCACTAACCATTTGAAAAGTAGAAATCCCAGCACAGAATGTAACATTAGGCTGATGAAAAAAAAAAGTTGCATCCTTGTAATTTTCAGGCAACCATATTTAGGTAGTTATTTATCCTTTCTGACTCTGGTTTATTATGATATCATCTGGTTTAGTATGCAAAATAAAGTTTAAATTCCATATCTCTCTCTCTCTCTCTCTCTCTCTCTCTCTCTCTCTCTCTCTCTCTCTCTCTCTCTCTCTCTCTCTCTCTCTCTCTCTCTCTATCCTTTGGCTGTCTGTAGCTATCAAATATTTATGGTTTTGTATACCAGAAATTATTGGTGAAATCTAACTAGGATGCCTCAGGTTCTGAGCCTTGTCGGGGTTCGATTTTTCCCAAACTACTACTATATATGAAATGTATATTTTCATGAAGCTCGAAAAGCTGTCGAGCCAAATTCAAGTGGGCATCATTTATTGAATCCAAGTACTTTAAGTTTTCGTGGAGATGATGACCCAACAACACCCCCTATTTGTTGGATTCTTGCAAGTTAATTTTTTTTGTTATTGCCTCACATCACATGGTCCATTGCACGGCCACACAATTTTTTTCTTTTATTCTTTCATCTTTTTTTTTTTTGAAAATGTGAATTATTATTATTATTATTATTATTTTTTTGCCCCTTTTGTGTCAGAAAAAATTGTAACTACATGAGTGAAATATTAGATTTGATGAGGTGCAGTTGCAGTACAATTTTGGACAATTTCAAAGTGAAATTGGTGGTGTGGGGTGGGGGGTCCGTGGGTTCATGATATCTTCCGGCGTGTCTATGCCCGCAAATAATATAACAAAAATTATGTACTATTTATTTGTGTACGATTTTTCTTTTTTATTTTTTTATTTGTTTTTTTGCAGATTTCAGACCATCATAATTAGTGAAAATGATTTCTACCTAGCATTTATTGTTGCAAATTTTAAGGTGCCTCTGGATTGGGTCTACAAAACCTAGAGAGGGGTCCTTTGGTACTCTTCGAAATTAAGGTTGTGTACTATTAGTCCCGCTCACCTGCCCACGGTGGGCAGTGCCCACCATTTTTTTTTTACATGAAAAACGTATTCTCAGAATACATTTTTCAATTAAATTAATTGAAAAACGTATTCTCAGAATACGTTTTTCATGTAAAATAAAGTGGTGGGCATTGCCCACTGTGGGCAGGGATCAAAATTTTGTGTACTATATAGTATATATTTGTGATTTATCTTGTATATATCTGATTTCAAAAGCTTGTCAATATGGAAAATCATTAGAGAAGAATGTCCCCAATTTTAGAAGACCAAGAGTTGATATTACTATTACTATCCACTATGAACCGTGTACGTATCGAGTTGCTAGATTATTGCAAACTTGCCCCTGATTAGGATTTGTGGTTTTATTTCGACACTCTAGGTCCTTTGAGCATGTTCGATATCACTGATCTCTCACGGTGCGCCTGCCAAGAAATTTAGAAATTAAGTTAGCGCCCGATGATTTATGTGGGGGGAACCCGACAGGGTATCTTAAAGCTCGATTATTTACGTGAAGAGGTCAGGACGACTGGATAAATCATTTCGAGCTCCAATTTTTACGACGAGAGGTCGGGAGGGCCTGGCAAGTCATCTCGAGCTGTGATATTTTATGACAAGAAGTATGGAGAACTCAAAAGGTCGTCTCCAATTTTGATATTTTACGACGAGAGGTTGGGAGGACCAGACAAATCGTCTCAAGCTCCGGTATTTTACAACGAGAGGTCGGGAGGACCCAAAAAGTCGTCTCGAGTTTTGATATTTTACAACGAGAGGTCGGGAGGACCCCCGGCGAGTCATTTCGAGTTCCAATGTTTTATGTAGAGATTGGGAGAACTTGGCGAGTCATTTCGAGCTCTTAAGTTTTATGTGGAAAGATCAGGAAGACCCGATTAATCATTTTGTAGCCCGATTATTTTAGTATAGAGGACGGGAAATCTCAACGAGAAATTTTGCACCTCGATTATTTTTGCAGAGTGGTTGGGTTGAAGAGAAATTTAGTGTCCTAGTACAAAGGTCAGAAAAGCTCAACGAGAAGTTCTGTACTCCGGTTGTTTATACAGTAGGTTGACTCGAGGAGAAGTTCGCGGCCCAGTTATTTTTGTAAAGAGGGCGGGAGGACCCGATGAGTTTTTAGAGCCCCGGTGATTTATGTGAAGTGGTCGGGAATAATATTTCCGACCCCAGGTACATAAGTGTTAGGATCTATGAGGATCTTGTTATGTACAAGTCACGAATTCAATAGCATACGTAAACCTATGCCCAACGGATCTAAAGGTTTCGCATAGGAAACTTAGGACTTAAAATTAATCATGAATCTGATGGATTCAGGATGACCTGGAACAACACACAAAGAAGCCGGTACGGACGTGGGGAGTCGCCGACGTCGGGTCGCGTGCGTTGTAGGGTCACCGGTGGGTAGCGATGGTGGCGGTGGATCGCAACAGTTTTGTCGGCGGGTCGGGGTCGGTGATCCTCGGCCTTCAGGAGGTGGTTCGTCGGCTCCAGTAGATGATTATGGGGTCTCGATTACCTTCCAGATCTTCTACTGTATCACTCTTACACCTCTTCAACTTGTACCGGTGGAGCAACAAGAAGAAGATAAAGCTCGAACAGAAAACTAAGAGAGAGAGAGAGAGGGAGAGAGAGGGAGAAAGAGGGAGAGAGAGAGAGAGAGAGCGAGAGAGAGAGAGAGAGAGAGAGAGAGAGAGAGAGAGAGAGAGAGAGAGAGAGAGAGAGAGAGAAGGCGTGTGTTTGTATAATACACATGTAGGATAATTCTGGTCTCTTCTTTTCTTTTCCATGAGCCTAATGATGTATATATAGAGCTGTAGTAGAGACTCTTATGAGATTAAAAATAGGACTTTTTAAGTAGTGGACTAATTGTGGGTCTGGCCCACTCTTCCAATTACTTAAACAATAAATATTATGGATACTAACATAATATTATTGCACTCTCTTTTCCTAAATCAAATTACAATTGAGACTCCAACATAATTACCCGTATTACCTCCCCATGTTTAAGATATTATGTTCATTAATTAATTCGATTACTGAAAATCAAGAATTGATTAATATATTATTATATAACCGAAGCTAACGCTCGTTCATCACATTATTACTATGTCGGAATATAATCTACCTGCAGGGTTTAACATAATAATCTTTCATAAACTCACTTCGGGGACATCATCAAACTAAACGTACATGGAGACCGTAAATATCCTAATAGCACATCATACATGCAACAATACTACACAAGACAGTAAGAATATTAATCCAGCGAACTGAACCTCACCCAAGTGAATCAAAATAATATATACTGCATATATATGTCTGTTTAATATCTTACGGATTAAGAGAACGCAGTAATTAACCTAGGCCTAGTTCGTTTACGACGATCAGTATAAAATGAACTTCTTCTCTCTGGGATCCTGTTCAATATATAAATGTACTAGTGCAACTAATCAGTCAAGACCAACTGTACGTTGACACTACAACCGTTCAGATGAGGTGTTCATTTCCATCTAGGTTGTGAACCACAATTCTTGTTTCGCAAGTAATTGATAGAATGATCTTCGGTTCGCCCGATGACGACCCATTCTATCTAAGTGCAAAGCAACAGAACATAGAACTTGTTTAATCAAACATGGTTCTCATTCATAAAGGGTAACAGTGTAATATCATACATACCCAAGCTTTTAGTATATGACACTAACAATAAGTTAATTCCTACTCCTTCTGGTGATCAAGTTAAATGATTATGGTAAGTCTCTTAGGATCATATTTTGTGGAGAAATGTCAATTGTTTGCATATAATCAGTAAGATGTTATGCTTTGGTAACGAGTGAAAGTCGTTCTCATTAGCTCGGTACTTAAAATATACAAGATGACAACTCCGAGCACACGAGCTCGGGGGCCACTGGCGAAACAAAAAGCGGAGAGTTGGCCTAAGAGCCATGTAAAATGCAATGGTGATAGAACTCCAAGGATGGCAGAACCCCGAGTAGGTGGCTCAGGGGCTATATATTTTTTCGCCGCAGAACCTTGAGAAGATAAGCTCGAGGGCCAAAAGTTTAAGGTTCGCAGAACCCCGAGAAGATGGCTCGGACGACATAAGTTCAAGGTTGGCAGAACCCCAGCAGATGGCTCAGGGACCATCCGTTCAGGTTTGACAGAAGCCCGAAAAGATGGCATATAGCCCATAGTAGATGGTTTGATGGCCATAAGTTCAAGGTCCGCAGAACCTCTAGCAGATAAGTTAGGGGGGGCCATAGGTTCAGTGTTTTCATTCCGCTCGGGGGCCATAAGTCTAAGGGAGCTTTAGCTAGTGAGGGATAAACACTTGTGGTTTCTCTCGTTACTATAAGTTTTCATTTGTCTGCTATTAGTTCTGATTGAGTGTGAGTTCTCAACTTTGATTAATACTTGAGATTCGATCTGAGCATGAGTTAACTCATCCACCTAATTATTCTGGTTATTTGTTAGTATCTAGCTATTGAATTGTTCAACTTGTGCGAGTTGTTTGATTCTTATGGTTAGTCGATTGATCGTCCTCTGATCCACGTAAATAACTTTTAAAATTGACAGGTGGGGAGTTATTTGACCTAGGCTTCTATACAGTAGACATGTTCGTAATTGTATTCCCTATGTGTTAGCTAATTTGATGAACATGTCGTTTATTTATGTTTGTTCTCTTATCCGTTATTGATGATAAATCTCCAGATGTGTATGCTTGTCGAATCATTTAACCAACTTCACATTTGCATCTAATATTGAAAATAGTTATTCCCTACTTTACTTTATAGTTAGTTAATTGCTTTTCTGATTGTTGGTATCTTTTAGATAATCTCTCCCAACAATACGTGGTTAGAATGTTTAGAACTTTATTTTTCTTTCGTGTGTGATTGACGTTGATTATAGATTTTGATCTGTCTTCCTCTAGAGTTAACTTAATGTCGGGATTCTCAAAGAAGATAATAACGTACACAACACATGTATTCATTTGAGATTTAAACTAGTCTCACAAAATTGTGAAATATTCAAATTATTTATCACTTATTTACTTTGAACTTTTTGAACCTTAATGTGAATTTAAAGGGAAATAACATTAGCAAAATCTTAATTAAATCATGCATCTTAAAAGTTAAATATTCTAATTAAATTAAAAAAAGTTTCAAATTTTAGAAAATCTAATCTCACTAAAAGTCCAAACCGAGATCACCAAAACAAATGATAATCTTTCAAAGTTCAAAGACAATCTCCCATCTCCCCGGCATTATTTGAAATAGAAAGTTTAGGTTACCAGATTTTTTATTTTTTATTTTTTTTCATTTTCCCCGATAGGTAATAAAAACAAGAACTTTACCATTAACTTTTTTTTTTCTTTTTTGTTGTTGTAACGATAGACTTTTATAAATATATAGACTTTTATAAACACATATTTACAATATGGAGAACTAACTAACAATAGTCGAATCAAGCAGCTGCACGGCCGAATTTAATGGGCAAACAACCAAAGGGGAGCTTAGACTACCACAATCCACAACACACCCACGGTATTACATTACTCCAACTAGTGGGATATACAACTCCTAAAGAGAATAAACACCACAACAAACACAAAAAATCAAATAGCATCCACATATTCTAAAAATCGTAAAAAACTAAAGGAAAAAAGAAAAATAAATAAAATAAATGAGGCCCTCCCCAATAGCCGATAAATTGCTCCAAGCCACCATCGCACGAGATGAGAGATGACCCCCAGGAGACAGGCCACAACCCATGACGCAAATCTAGTCACTCACTTCACCAAGAACTGGTGACTGCTAACATAAATCCACCCCCACCCGAATCAGAGGTCAAACTCAGAGCCTCACCCAGAAGGCCCACAGCAAAACCATCCCCACCACAACCCCGACGAAAGCAGCTGAAAAATGCACAAACACGAAAGAGGCTCCCCTCGGAGGAATCCCCAATCCTAGTCCCTGGAGACGGTCAAGATTAAGGGAAAGAGTCGACGTCGACCGTAACACCGTCCGCCAGAAAAGCTTGACAAACAGTACCCACAACCCCACTCTCGCCATCGTTGAGTCGTGCAGAAGCCCTGCCGCAGCCGCTCGGAATGGAGAGATGTGCGGCGCCGAAAACACAACATAACCAGAGGTTTGAAGGACGTCACGCCGAAGCCGGTCATCTCCTCGGTGGAACGGAGCAAACGATTGTGAGAAGGCTTGGAGATGGATATGACTATGGGTAAAATTACAAAAATGATACACTAAGTTGGTCGTTGTCAACAAAAGAGACATTATGTTGGCACGCACAAAAAAGAGACACGAAGTTGGCATTTTGGTCGGAAACGGCACACTAATCACCCCCCCTTGATAAAAATCCGACGTGGCGTGATTAATTTATTACACGGCTCTTTCTTTTTCGGGCTCTTCATACGTGGAATTTTCGTGTATGCCACCGTGGACGGATGTACATTTTGGAGGGAAAATCGCACCACACCCGTTGACCAACCGATGACCAGGTATTAATTTGGGGAAATCACTAAATTCAGCCCTAATTCACCATTTCGATCGTGCACAAATTAGGGCAATTCGAAGAACCCTAAAAATCGCCACCTTCAATTTCGACCACAATCACTTAATTCAATTATCAAAACATTAATAATAGAGAATCACGAAGATGTCAGCGTCTTCATTTTCTTCTCCGTCTGAAATTTTATGCTCATGTGGAGAGAAGGCGCAATTGAGGACTTCGAAGACGAGTACGAATCCAGGGAAAAGATTCCATGGTTGTAAGAAATGGAAGCAAGGAGGGTGCGAATTTTTCATGTGGGCCGAACCAACTTCTCAAATCAACTCAGCAACTTCATCAGGTATGAATAATCAAGATTTGGCTCATGAATCTGAAATGAAGATTGTGTTGCTGGAGGCTGAAGTGAAAGTTCTGAAGATGAAGATTTCAATGCTTGAAGATTCCAATGGAAAATTTGATTCTCAAATGAAAATGATGATGGACAAGATTAAGAGAATTCACTTGTTTATTCTTGGTATTTGTTTTGGTTTGACCTTATGTTTTTTAGTGAAGTAGAGTTTGTTCAAGCAGATGGGATCTGTATTGTGCATTAAAAAAAAAAGGTATGATCTATTCTGATGTAGTGAGTATGTTATTGGTTGATTATGAAGTGGATTGATTTTTGTGGACTGCAAGAAATGTATTATGTTTGTATTATGAAGTGTATTGATTTCTGTGGATTTCTGTGGATTGATTTCTGTTATTTTGCAACTTAGATGAAGGGATTAAAATCAACAATGCATTAGGTTGTCATTAACAAAACTTCAAAAAATGAGCCATTAAGAAAACCATCTAAATCAATCACCATTCACCATAACAAAACAATATCCCAT